GATAGATAGATAGATAGATAGATAGATAGATAGATAGATAGATATAATGGATGGGTGAATGGATGGATGGATAGATAGATAATAGATGGATAGATAGATGATATGTATAGATAGAAGATAGATATGGATGGATAGGTGGATGGATAGTCTAGGTAAATGGGTAGGAAGCTGGAACATATTTAGCTCACATATTTGACCTTTGATCGCCTGATTTCAATGCATGATTCATCATCCTACTTAACAAAGACTAACTGAAACTAACCTTTTGCAAGCCCCCCATCCACAGTTAAAATTTATATGAAATTAGATGTTTACTTTATTGTTTCATCAGAGAAGCAGTGTCATGAAATGAGTCGCAGGAAAACGGCTGGCTGGGGGTGGGGGAGGGGAAAATCCCCTAAATGGACCCATTTACATTTGTTTCCGTGTGAAATCTATAGCCTAACCTGCTTGAGTCCATGAGGGCACGATGGCCCGGTGATGAGTGGCCCAGACTCAGGGCGGGGGTGGGCTTCATTAGCAAGACTGGGTTCAAATGCCAGCTCTGTCCGTGAGAGGTGCATGGCCTCCGGGCAGCGACCTCCTTCTGTGCGCCCAGTTGCCACCTTGGAAGGCGGGATAGTATTGCTTTCCTGTGGCTACGGCAACACATGACCACACATGGGGGGCACTACAAACCACAGAGACTTTCTCTCTCACGACTCTGGAAGCCGGAAGTCCGAAGCCAAGGTGTTAGGAGGGCTGGTTCCTTCTGAAGGAGGGTTCAGTTAACAAGTGACGTCTTTCTCAAGTAAGCTGGTGGACTGGGCGTTGAAAGGAGGCAACTGAGGGGGAAATGGTTCACGTGAATGTGTGAAGTCCTGAATCTCTCTAGATTATCCAGGCATCTGTCCATCTACATTTGTTATCTAGCTATGTATGTACGTATGTATGTGTATCTATGTGTCCATCCGTCTGTCCATCCATCTATATATCCATCTGTTCATTTATGTCTGTCTGTTATCTATCTGTCTGCTATCTATCTATCTATCTATCTATCTATCTATCTATCTATCATTCCATCTATCTATCCACCCATCCATCATATCTATCTATCTATCCATCCATCCATCCATGGGATGAGAATGTTCTGGAAGCAGATACAGGTGGTAAATTGAGAATGTGCTAAATGCCCCCAATTTCTTAAAATTTTCTAATGTTTATTTTTGAGAGACAGAAACGGAGCGTGGGCCAGGGGGGGACAGAGAGAGAGGGAGACACAGGGTCCCCAGCAGGCTCCAGGCTCCGAGCTGTCGGCACAGAGCCCGACGCGGGGCTCGAACCCATGAACCGCGAGATCATGACCTGAGCCGAAGTGTGACGCCTAACCAACTGAGCCACCCAGGCGCCCCCCCCGAACTGTCTACTTTTAAAGGGTGAGTTGTGTGTGATGTGAATGACATCTCAATAAAAACACACGCCTCGTGGGTCACGGGGTGGGGGGGAAGCCTGAACACAATTCTGTTTTCGTTCCCCGTGTCTCAGCCGGCTGTTGCTCCTGTGTCCTCCCTGCCGTCCCCCCGTTTGCCCCACCTCCTGAGACATCCTCACCTCTCGGGTCACTGCTGGGGTGTCTGGAGCTGGCCGCCCACGTCTCCCGGTCTGTGGTTGCCGTGGCCGGTTGAACCCCAGGCGGGGCCGAGTCAAGAGGAAGCATTGAGAGTGGCCACCTTCACTGATTAAGTAACACTTTCCCCCAAGAAGCCAGCGTGGACCGGTTCAGGGTCCCAGGGGCTGAAATCGTTCTCATTTCCTTCTTTTCCGAGGCCGCAGACAGCTTTCTTCCTGGCCCGCGTCCCGGGGGTGACGGGGAAGGCATGGGCCGAGTGCCAGGGAGCCCGAAGAGGGCGTCTGTCCCCCCTGAGCATGTGTCACACTACACGTCTGCAAACGCTTTCTCTGAGAGAGACCACGTCCCAAGGTGGGGAAACCGAGGCACGGAGTCCCTCCAGACGCACCCTGGACACAGGTCTCACAGGTGGGGAAACTGAGGCACAGAGTCCCTCCAGACGCGCCC